AAATTTGAGGGCAACATGTCAGGGAAAAGGTTCTCTAAGATGAATGAAAAGCATTAACACTGAATATGAAGTTAAATGTCATTAGTTAATTTCAAATTGGAGAAAAGCTTGGAAGTTTACATATATTGTCCAGTACATGGGTAAGGGAATACTGTACTTCAAATAAATTTGTTCCAAGTGCAATGTCTCCTACTTTCTGTGTGTACAGTTATTGACAAGATTCCCTGAACACTTGGCATGTAATTACTGTATTTGTGGATCATTAATTGATGGGGATTGGAATTATCAACATATTTTTGGGGAATTTTTCTTTGCAGAGTATTGAGGGTTTTTTCGGACATAGTTTGTGATGAAAAGTAACATTATCAGATATAAACTAATTATATATACTGTATGACCCAGAAGTAGATGTCAAATATGGCCAAGTTTTCAGGGAATTTTATCTGCAACTGTACATAAATGGGCAGTTGGAGGTCTGGGTCTGGTACAGATTCCCTTCCTCTCCACTGAAGATGACTGTAAATGTCTCTTTCATTAACATTGTGATTTTTCAGAAACACATATGACAACAGTTGCACGGAATGACTCCCTAATTTTGCTAAGCAGTTAGAAAGGGTTGCAAATGATTATAATTTATGATACATTAGTTTGTTCTGGTTCACATTCACAGCTTATAGCAGAGCAACAATGTACAACTGCAAACAAATCCGTTGCCTCTTCTGCTCTCCACGAACCCCGAGATTCAGACTTGTAAACCTGAAGCAGTAGACACTGATGCATTATTCCATCCATAAATGTTTTGGATTCATGAGTCTGAATCTCTGTGTTAGTGGAGCAGCAGAAGAAGCAACAGGACATCTGTTCATGGCTGTACATGTGTGCATGTAAACTCTTAAGAACTTGCCTATCATGACTTGTGTATAACGCACTTGCAGTACAACCAAAGATCTTGTTGGACAAACACAGAATGAAAAACAAAAAATATATGGATAAGGATTGGTATTTTCTTTCTGGGTACAGGATTGAAGTCTTTCTGTAAATGCAATTAAGTTGTCTATTGTGTTTAGTCAAAGTGAAGTTATATTTCAAATCAGTTAATTTTTTTAGTCACCTGCACTTACACCTGGTACAGTGGGTGGCACATTGTGTGAGATGTGGCAACTGTGTTTGTTTACATGGTATAAAAACTCCCAGAATGGCCCTAAGGAACCTAGCAATAGTAGCCAGATTAATTATAAGCATTCCACAGATTTGCCACATCCCTCAACCACTGTACTGTACTGTACTGTACCAAGTATAAGTGCAGTAGACTGTAATTGTATCTTCACAGTAATCCTTGAATAAGTTTAATTCAGTGGTATTGCTTGTCATGGTGAAGATCTATTAAGTCACATCAAGGCTCATTTCTAGAAATAAAACTACAACATGAAGATTTTGTTATACAATTACTGAATAAGAATTAATTAACATTAATACAAATAAACAAATTAACTGTATTTTCAACATAAGTGAAAACATAATAGGAATGCTGTTCCTACATCACTCTGCCAATTATAAATGGACACTCATATTACTTGTACAACATCACAAAACTGTAAATTGGGAGATTGAGCATGAAATCTCTCTCTCAGCCCATGGCCAGGCAACTCTTTATTACTGTGCTTCCCAGATTGAGGCGTTTAGTCCATCCTACCTTTCCCCACCTGAAGTAGCTGGGGACTAATTTTATATCATAAGATCATCCACTATCCTTTCCCATCATAACCGTTGCTTTCATATGAGGGAGAATACTTCCAAGGGTTACTCTCTAGGAGGAAGACGGTCTATTTGTGTTCATATCTTCACCTGTCTGTAAAATTTTAATGGTGACTACGGGCTGCCATGTTGATTTTGATACTCGATCCTGCTATTTCATTAAGCTTCCCAGCTGACCAACTGTGAACCCTTAGCATATGCTCTTTAGTGAAATGGCTTTATGGTACCATCATTAACCACCTGGGAAAAGGGGAAGGAGGTGGTACTACAGCTCAATGCACACCAGAAAAAATTACTCTTAACTGTACAGTGACAGGAGTTGGGCACAGAATTAAATACTGACCCCTATAACTCTCCCTTACTGGTCAGTACACGTGTGATATCATGGAACAGATGAACCTTTTAGAATCCAGAGGCCCTTTATTATCATGGATCAACTCAAAGACAAGAAGTGTAAATATGTCTCTTTAGGTCTCCTAGTACTGACCTGGTCGGAAGAGAGGAACTTATATCGGGAGGGAATCCATGTGAATTTTGTTCCCCCATGGTTAATCAACAGAATCAATTAAAACAGAGTAACCTCCATGACTACTAACATTCAACAAAACCAACTTACTTCAGCAGAGACATTTGGGGAAGAGTGTAAGCCTAAATGATCCGAACCAGAGCACTAAAAAAACTATGGGAAGGACACCAAAGTCCCACTCCACAATACATTGTATACAAAAGAGAGAAAAGAAGTGAACAAAGCATGAGACAAAACTAAAAGGAGAAAATCAAAACCCTACTTAGCCACAACCGGGGTAACCAGACTTAAGTCCTGACACAGTGGAAGCTACCCCACGAAAAGAAAGGAGAGAGAACCATTCTTAAAGAACTCTGAACTGAAGAGACAATTCTGCTCCATGGATATCAGCCTGAGGGACAAGTGAAACAGACTTAATGAGTCAGTTATCATCCAACACAGCAAACTAGTAAAAAATAAGGAGAACCTTGAGGGATTGAATCCAAGAGGAGAACGTGACATTGTACATATAACAAAACATAACCACAAATAACCAACACTGAGGTGAAGAACTTGCAAAGAGAGAACATACCAATTCACTCATAACAGAAAACACATCAACTAGAAATTCACATATGGAAAAACAAGGAAAACTTAACTAAATGTTACTGCAGACTGAGTGTTAATAAAATACACACTCCTCCCATCAAGAGACTTCCCTCCAAAACACAGTCAGAAAAGAGGAACCAAAATTCCTCCATAGGAATGTAATGAGGTGGCAGAAAAATGAGATCCCACTCTTCTATTACATCATATATCTTCTTCACTCGATAAAAGTTCCAAGAAAGGTGTCAGATCTCGCCAAAAATTCTCAGAGGAAACAAAGAACAGCAGACAAGAACTATTCCAGGTCTCTATCAAGTAAAAGTTAAAACCAGGTTAAAAGGGGACAACAAAGTCTCTGTACCAAGTCTTCAATGACTATTTAATCTGACTGCAAGAAACTATCTAATCTGAGGGAAAGAAAAAACTAGTAAACAGTGACTAGGTTTTTTATATTTCTGTGCCAAGAACTAGAAAAGTATTATAATAATGATTTCCTCATCTACATGCATATGGGTCAGTGAAACGCACATACCTACTGACTGTGGTGCTGAAGGTTAATCTAACCAGGGAAGAGCCAAAGATGTATAGAAGCTTTACAAACCTTTATGAGTGTCCCAATTTTCTTTTTAGTGGAATCACCTCCAAAGAGAAACAAATCAACTGAAGTAGTGAAATAGTCCAATTTAACCTTATCACTGATTCCTGCGAGGCTTTCTTTAAACAGGACCAAAATGAACTACTCCTCAAGAAAATGGGAAGAAAACAATGCTTTCTCAACACAAGGAAGCACAGCACCAAGTAAGAGTCACTCACCCTGGTAAAGAGCTGGGGACTACATGAAATAAAAATGGCAGCCCCTCACTGGCAGGAAGTGTGTGGTGACTGGTATAGACACAAGCTCTAATGGGCCTTTTGCCTCAAGAGGACAACCTTTGTGTCTGATCAGCCTCATGTAAAGACAATTGATATGGCAGAAAGGGATCTTAGCATCTTGAAGTAGCTCCCAGTTGCCTACAGAGGGGGTACAGCATAATAGATTTAAACTCCTCAATCTCGGCAGGCACAGTGACATGAAGCTGCCAGGCTAAAAAGGTTAATACAAGAAAATGAAGCCTTAACACCCTGCTACAATCATCATATGAAAGAAGGAATTAATAAGAATTCTCGTGAATACTCTTAAAGCTGGTAAACTGATCTCATTTTGCAATTCTGAAACAATAGTGAATGAGATTGTAAGTTTAACCTTTTGACATTGATTACTACAGGGTCTGCAATTTTGATTTGCTCACCATACCTGTAATCTTCCCACTTTCTATGTAAATTCCCCCTGAGGGCTTCTATGTCTGCTGAAGCCATGGGGCCACCGTGTGTATGTATGTGTGTGTTTTATATTTCTTTAAATGTTTTACTGTTATTCAAATGATATTTAATTATTATACAGGGTGTTCATGAAGTCCTTTTCTAGTTTTAAATGTTTATTACAACACAACCAAATGAGATATAATGATTCAGTTGTTTACATCATGTTCCTTAGCTAATTAAACAAAAAACTTTACATGTTCTATGGAATTAATGGTTGCTGTGATGCTGGAGAAGATTAAATTGGTGATTACGTCTATACAGGAGAAAGCACAATGTGTCGTCTGGCTTGCCGAGTCCACATTAGTGACAACTGTTTAGTCTCCATCAACTTGCAACACCAAGACGTAATACTGGGTTTTGAGGGAGGAGCTTTCTGATACTGCTGGCGGTAATTCCTTTAAACAGTTATCACTAATGTGGACTCGGCAAGCCAGACGACACATTGTGCTTTCTCCTGTATAGACGTAATCACCAATTTAATCTTCTCCAGCATCACAGCAACCATTAATTCCATAGAACATGTAAAGTTTTTTGTTTAATTAGCTAAGGAACATGATGTAAACAACTGAATCATTATATCTCATTTGGTTGTGTTGTAATAAACATTTAAAACCAGACAAGGACTTCATGAACACCCTGTACAGTACTGTATTATCTTTTATGTTAATGATTCTGTACCAACAACAATTAACTATAATTTTTGGCTGGAAACAGACTAACTGAGGTTAAGAAGGTACAGTACAGGTAATCGGTCTAAAATTATAGTTTGACGTGAAGTGGAAATAATTTTTATAGGTATACAGTGCAGGTATTAATATTATCACTTTTCTTAAAAATCACAAAATTCTGATCAAAGTCAAAGGGTTAATACACAGACTTATGACTAGCCTTAAATTATCTAAGAATGGAAGATGATCAATGACACAACACTTGAATAAATTGTCTTATCAGCAACCATTATCCCTCTTCCATGCAGCAAGCCACAGCATTATTCTCTCCAAGTTGTTCTCCATGTCTTCGATAGTATTGGAAGGAAGTTCATGCACTAACTGTTCAGCATAACTGTCCTGGGCTTCATCTCTCAAAACGTTCATGATCTCACACGTCACGTTATCCTCTAGTTTCTTCCCCTGGTAACCTCTGAAAAATAGAGCCAACATCAAATGGAGAGCAAATATTAATGATTACCAGCACAAATATAAGTCAAATTTGCATATGTTTCAGGGGTGATATGATTATAATGTGTACTATATCTGTTTTTGAAAGTGAATCAACTAAAATATCTGAAGAATTTAATAATTGGCTCAGGTACCAGTTAGGCTACACTGTGTACTTTTTCCAATGTAATGTACTATAGGGGATTGTTCCTGAAATTTCTTAATCCCCTTTTCAAGAAGTCTGAACACAGGCAGTGCAGGGCTACTTATTTTGAAGTTTTATATTATCAGACATAGTTGATCTGTTAATGTACTTGGCTGTACTAATCACCCTTCCTTCCTCAACACACTGTCTCCCTCAAAAGAAGCTAACCTGGTACATTGGCTGCTCTCAGGTTTTATCAGAGCAGAGTCTGACCTAATCAGTACCAGGCATACTGTCTGTCAAATTCAATACAGTTCCAACTGACAAAGCCATTAATCCCTTACAGTCAAAGGATGTGCCTTGTACAACCTAGAACACCAAGCAGTGCACCAGAGGATGTACAGATACCTGATACAATACATCCTGTGAAATAGTGCTCTGTCACTGGTGAAACATCCAACTAGTCTTATTACTACTCATATATTTTTGTGTGTGCTGGGGAGAGTATTGAGGTGGTGGGAAGGGTGATTAGTGTTGTGGTGAGAGAGATGAGTATTGGGGCAATGTAGGGGTGATTATGGTGGAGTAATTATCGTATATACTCGAGTACAGTTCGAGTTTTCATGATCAAATTATTATGCAAAAAGTAGAGGGTCAAACAATGTACGCATAGTATTTTTGGGGAGGTTATAATTCATGCATTTCCGTGGGTCATTTGTAGCGAATGATAGCTACCCGGCACATGCTCATGGTAAGCTAACCTTACCAGTAAGCTTGCCTATCATACACCTAGAATCATTCTTTATGTTGCTACATGAAGAATAGAACCTCATTCACTGTATATGCCACTTTAAATCTAAAAACACCTTATACAAATGAAGACCGCGGACGATTTTTTCATGTGATACCAATGCCCAACTTCAGATTTGATACGATGCTCCTAGTAAGTCCAATATTTCAACTTTATCTTCAAAACTTCTCATTGTACTGTATGCACTTTTTCTTTCTCTCTCTCTCACCACCACAAGAACTGCCACTAATTTTTCTCTAGGGGTGACCAATGTGGTAAAATTCACCAGTAGAGAAAAACTTTACCAGTGCGAACGGCTGAGAGATGTTCATGAAACCATTGTGAGAGAGAAGACACCAGAGTTAGTGAACTATATTACTGTTATTTTTCAACTCATAATTTTGTGTAGATATATGTAATTTTCTTCAAATTTTCTTACTCTGTTGCGCACACACACAATCTTTCATAAAAAATTTGCAAAAAAAAAAAAAATAATAATTATCATAAAGTAAAAAACATGAAGGCAATAAACATTTCTTCGTGTGCTGGAGTTACTACACAGAGCCGGGGGAGGAGAAGTGGCGTGGGGTCTCGGTTTCTCCTTGACATCAACCCCTTTATGGAGGGGTCCGATGAACACCACGACTCCTGGTGTCTCAGTAGGGTTGTTAACGTTGTGTCCCATTGTTAAACACCAGATCATAGATACTTTTTGGAGCACATGTACAGTATATGCTATAACCTTCATTGACTTCAATCCTCAATACAGTATATGACAAAGTTAATAATCATCTATGAAAAAAAACAAAGTACAGTACTGTACAACACATAATAACACTTACCCCATCCAGAAGAGCAAACACACACAGCCCATGAACTTACCTCACTCTGGTAATAAAAATGGAAAGGTAAAAGACTTTTAAACATACCTGGCAGCAAGTCTGTCATACAATATGGTGTTGTTTGTCCTCAGTACAAAGACAATATCAAAAAATCTTTCTGGGAAGAATTCACATCCATGGTAATCAATTATCTTGCCTCCTTCTTCAATCATGTCCTCCAGTTCATCTAAAACCTAAAAGAAGGATTTCAAATTAATCAAACTATTCTGCTTCAGTACAGTACCTCTTAAGATACAGGCAATGCACAAATTAGCTTCAACAGCTTTGAATATCAATTAAGACAGTATTTAAAGTTCTTTATCAAGATTCATGTCCTATTGTGTAGTGTTAATTAAGATTCTCCATATTTTGTGATGCTGCATCACTGCCTTACTCATACTGTTGACAACCCAAAATACATCATTGCCACAATATGTTTATATTCTACAAAAAGTTTCCAGGATGGGAAATGACCCTACAACTGGCTTTAATTACTGAAGATAAATTATGATTTGCACCAGGAAATTTCAACTGAGGCTGTTACTGATGTATGTTGATAATAATGTGATGAGTTAACAAAAGTTGTCTGAGGACACTGAAGCTTGCCTGCGGGTATATTTGCTTCACTGCTTTATTTCAACAGATGATTAGTTGTCATCAGTCAATAATTACCATAAAATATGGTGACTAACTGGTTGCATTACTGTAGAGCCATGGTAGATATAACACTTAACATGACCTTCAATTCCTATCAAGTAGCTCAGTGACCCAAGCTAATGAGGAGTGACTAGGTTTCATTAAATCACCATAGCCACGACGAGTGGAAAATGTTAAGAAGTGGCCTATTTCTCAAAGGTGTTATACGAAGATAATTACAGTATGTTGTGGAGTTTAGAAATGAAAAATTAAAATTAAGTTGTCAGTTCAGAAAACAAATTGAAGCAGCTGTTAGGAAAATGATAAATAAGGCTTGTGGGATTGATCGGCTTCCAGCAGAATTTCTAAAACAATGGGAGAGAAATGGGATCATTTGTCTGATTGAGATATAACACTACAGTAATCCTGTGTTTTTCCTTTTTTTATCGCGGTTTTAACCATTCCCGGTTTTTTTACTCAAAATTCTATATACAGCTCCTCCCCGACTTACGACCTACTCGACTTACGACCTGCCTCAGTCGTACTAAAATTTGGTCAAATTACGTATTTTCGAATCCCAAAGTCAGTACACAGACAAAGTTTTCGTTTGTAATTCACTTTAAAATGGCTGGCAAGCTTAAAAGAGTGTGTTTTGTGGTGCTGAGAAGAAAAAGAGACGCCTATTTTAGATTTGCTATGCATTATTTAAGCATTTCCGACTTATGACCTGGATTTGGGTCCCTAACCCCATCGTAAGTCGGGGAGGAGCTGTATATAAAACATCCTTTAAAAACAAAAAATTAAATTTCGCGCCATTTTCAATATTCCCTTTTGCGGAGCGGCAAACAGACGCCACCCTTTCCCGCCTCGGACACCCGCTCCTCCGAGAAGCCTCTGTCCACAGGTGCCTACCGTGCTGTGAACGTGATTTCCTCTTCTGTTTGTCCTCCCACATACATTCACACATGGCTCCGGGACGTAAGCCAGCCTCATCAAAGGCAAATATTATTAGCAAAGACTCTAAAGTGACCAAGTGACCAAGAATAGTGAGTCCTATTAATAAACTCCTTTTGTCACAGGAAGCTTTAACTAATTCATGAACTGGTCATAGGTGCCATTACCAAGGGTCAATTACATAATCACACAAACTTGGTGCAGGAAGTACTGTATTGTATAATAAATCATTTGGTTTAGGCAAAGTAAGAAAATAAGATTTCTGGTGCAATTCACAGTTCCTGCATTCATCTTAACCAACACATTTTATTTCTATCACAATCTATTTTTTTGTTCTTGTGCATCTTGTCTGTTTTACCTGCAACTTTTCTCTCATTCATTAGAAAGCCAACTGAAGCATTTCTAAAACGGATGGTACAAAAGTTGATCAATGCAGTACTGTATTACCCATTATGTAGTCAATCAAATAACTGCTTATCAACAAACTGACACAAAAAAAGTGTAATAATCTAAATAGAAAAAAAATATGGTTGTTAGCGCTTCTTCAAAGAACCTGAGAATCACTTACTTTGTCATCGTCAAGAATAGGACAATCTCTTTCATCATCATAGCCATCAAAAAAGTTATTATCCTTGGCCAGGTCTCCTACACTGATCCACTCTAGCCCAGTACGCTCGGCCAGTTGTTGTCCCAGCGTTGATTTGCCAACTCCTGGTGTTCCTGAAAGAAGTTCCATCCACTCTTATAACGTCTCACTCTTTATGTACCCTTGGGATTGATAGTGTGGCAAACTTACAAATTTTGCGAGTTAATAAGTAACTTATGACATGGGTGCAATGGACCTTGGGACCATGACCCCCCAAAATATTGGCTATGTACAGTAACTTATGAATGGACTCAGAAAGTTAGAAGACAAACTTAAACTGGGGTTGACATTGCCAGAGAGATGCACTAGGACCTGGAAATACTGTACAAGCGTAGAAGCCTTTTCATCCAGAATGTACAGTATACCGTTAGGTTCCAGTCAATGTATGAAATTAGGCAATCAGTAAAATACTGTACCTGTGAAAAGGTTGTGCTTCATGTGGTGTACAGGCCAATTTGGTTATTTTAGGATAGGTTAGGTCAGATTAGGTCAGGTTAGTGGGAAGTTTAATGTAAATTTTGTAGCTGTCAGTGGAATAACTTAACCGGACCTTTACATCACATAAAACAGAACCATTCTACAAGTATTTTACAAAGTGATTGATTTCATACATTGACTGTAGCATAAATATATTACTGGTAAAACAATAAAAAAATACCTGTAAGGTGTGATGGTAAAATATTGTTTGTTTGTTTTAAATTATTTGTTCATTTAATTATGTTTACAAGTACAGAAGAATAGAGAGTACAGTATCTCCATAATGGGGATAATGTAGTGACGAACTCAAAAGAATTACCAATCATATCAACTTACCCAAGCGTACGGGGTCCACTCTTTGCTGAATAAAATCATCTGCCGTTAGCCAAATAAAACAGTCCAAGTTGCGGAATCAAGAACAATACTTGGCTTCAAAATAGACCTTGACAAAATTATCAAGAACATTGGAGGGATCCTCCACAAGCCAGGCCACTGGTCTCCTTCCCTCAACATGGTCACCTCTACTGGGTGACCATTAGGTAGGGCAAGTAAGGTCAAATATTAAAAGTAGTGTTCCTGTCTTGAAGGGATTAAAAACAATTACTTCTTACAATGCGCACTAGTTTGTCTTCTGGGCGGTAATGAGGCCGCGCTTAGCTGAGGCGCTTCTACCGCTCCCGGGGCAGTATGTTTACAGCATGTCGTGTGAAGGTTGTCGCCGGTCTTACATGTACGTAATTTGCGAATTTAGGGATAAAGACAATGAGACCCTTCAATTGTTCAAAGACCACGGCATTGTTCCTTTAAATAGAGACTGTCCACACTGCAGGAGTCCCTGTGCTTTCATACCAGAAAGAAATTTGTTCATCACTTCCTCAACGCCGTGGCTCGACTTTTCCCGCCATAAAAATAAATTACTCCACAGCAAAGGATGCATAGACAGGGAAGTTAGGTAAGGTTAGGTAGGTTTGTTTGGGTATTAACGCATTTCCGCACCCAATATTTCTACCCCTAATCTATTATCATATTCGAATAAGACGTCTATTTATAAGATAATTTTCATCTATTACATTACCATTGCAAATGTATAATAACGGAGATAGCGTATCAAATTTTTCTCTATTTTCTTCCATTAATCTTCTGCCATTATCACCTACCTCACCTCCCACACTGCGTGACTCCTTCACAAATCATCACGCGCATGTGTTTCCGTACACATCATGCGCATGCATTTCCGTACACATCACGCGGCCAATTAAAAGCGTTTTTGGGGGGAGCAACCAATTAAAATGATTTGTGGTTTAATTTGCAGTATTTTTGGCCCAATCAAATTCGATTTTTATTTTGGGTCTCATATTACGAAATTCTAATTCATTTCCGACCAAGGAAGTCTACGATGGGTGTCACTTCAATTATATGGAGCCGAAACTATAGCATTCGATCTTATGGTGTTCTCCCAACCTCAGTAAAGTGTCCTAAGTGCAAGAATGAATGTAAATATCGTGGCATTGTGGTAACTCGAACGAGAACCAGGCCATTAAGGTAAGAAATGTGATTCCATCATATGGTGAGAGTCAGTTAGGTTAGGTTAGGTCAGATTTATGTTTATCTAGCGGGTTTTTTTGTGTATTTTGTATTTGCTTAGCCATTATTTTTGTAAGAAAACGCCACACCAAAAAAAAAGAAAAAAAGAGGCCAATTTCCGACAGAAATGAAGGTCATAACCGATCTAAACACACATAAATACACTAGAAAAACATATTTTTTACTTTCTAACAGAGCTGTGTGCACTTATGCAAATTTACCTTTGTTTGATTAGGTCTGTTCTTCATACCCACAAATGTTAAGTTAAGTTTATTTTAAAAATATCAATATTTTAACACATTTGCACAAACTACAACAGTGTCCACTATAAAATAACAGTGAAAATCCGGCGTTTTTATAATAGTTTTCAATCAATTTCACCCGCGGGTTAGTCCTATATAATTACCATAGGTTCTTATGTACTCTATTGACCATATTATTTGAGGTGTGGGAGGTTCTGAAGCTGAGGGCCAAGTCATTGGTTACACTCACCTCCAAAGGAAAACCATCACTATGTGGCCTACATCCCTATAACAAAACATTGCCTAAATATCCTCCAACAACAAGAGAAAGTATTTAATAGTCCTAGTATAAAAATTAGCTCAAATTAGTGGTGACAGCTTTGTTAGTGTAAACAATTACCTAACATACACCATACAGTAACTATGTCTAGATACTAAGTTATTGTACAGTATCAGGACCAGGTCTATAGCCTCTTCCTACTCTTATATAAAATTACATAACAACCTCACCTGTTAGAAGTATATTAGGACCAGACTTCATAGTGTAAAAGAGAATAGAAACGCCTGTGATTGTTAAAAATGGTCTTTAAATTGACGACGCAGAGACACGTGAACCTCGACTGGCACCTTAACTCCTTGGTACAACCCGAGGCCGAGGGCGAGCTGCTGACGTCTGAAGCTCACTAATAACGAACCCTAGTCCATAGACCTGCACCAACCCTAGTCCATAGTGACATAGAGTGATATTAGGGACGTTTGACATACTAGTTTACATTAATTTAGCATGTGTAGGTATACAGTGTACATGGGTAGTGCAGGAACGCGTACAGTACTTAAATCGTGGAAAACAAAGCTGTTTCCAAGCCGTATAGCCTGATTTGTCTTTATTTCACATTTTTATATACTATATATATATATATAATTTATGACCAATATTATCGAAAACAAACACTAAAATTTACTTGGAAACGAAGGTATGGGTCGCCTTTTTTACCAGACTCCCCGAACCCTCAATCACTGGTCGCTACATCTGCTATATACTCGTAAGATCTATATTACTTTTTACTTTTATCTTTATCTTCTTCACCGCTGATCGGCTCGTTAGCCTCTTGGGCGATCGGATACGTCTCTGTTACGCACTGTTAGCAAATACTGCACACTTGGTGCAGTCACAAGGTTCACAACACACTCTGGCAGATTGTTCCAGAGTTCATAACTCTCACACCGAAAAAGTTACATCTCAGTTTTCTGGGCTTGCTGCTTCTTCAATCTTGAGCTGTGACCCCTTGTGGGGTGAGCGTCCGCCAGCTCCAGGTAAGGGAACTCGAGATGCTTATACACCTCAACTAGGTCCCCCCTTGCCCGTCTGTAGTATAAGCTAGGCAAGTTCAGGCGCTCCAATCTCTCAGGGTAGCTGAGGTGCTGAAGTGCAGGCACCAGTCTGGTGGCCCTCCTTTGAACATTTTCAACCAACTGACAGTCTCTAGCATATCTCGGGGACCAGACGGGGTGACTACTCCAGACGGGGAAGCACTTCACTCTTGAAGATTGTTACGGGGGGACGGACCTTATGAGACCTAACAATTTAGTTGCCTGATTTACCTTCTTCCCTCAATGGCCCGAGAACTTCAGCTCATTGTCAACACACACACACACCTAGGTCCTTCTCACATTCACTCTCAATGCAGTACTCCCCATCTGGAGTACTGTCACCCCGTCTACTGCTCGAGATATGCTAGGGACTCAGTTGGTTGAAAATGTCCAAAGGAGGGCCACCAGACTGGTGCCTGCACTTCAGCACCTCATCTACCCTGAGAGATTGGAGCGCCTGAACTTTACTTTTATCCTCTTCGCCACTGATCGGCTTGTTAGCCGCTTGGGCGTATAAGCATCTCAAGGGGCACTACTCAGTTGAGTGTCCTTACTTGGAGCTGGCGGACACTCACCCCACAAGGGGTCACAGCTCAAGATTGAAGAAGCTGCAAGTCCAGAAAACTGTGAGGGCAAACTTTTTCGGAGTGAGGGTTGTGAACTCTTGAAACAATCTGCCAGAAAGTGTTATGACGGCACCGAGTGTGAGTTCTTTCAAGACCAGACTTGACCAACACTGGAGCAGGTTCAGGTACATTCAGGAGCCAGTGCATGCCCAGTACCTGCCAACAGTGCGTAACAGAGCCAGTACTTGACTAGTACTTGCCCACAGTGCGTGAGGGAGACGTGACCGATCGCCCATGCGGCTAACGAGCCGATCAGTGGTGAAGAGGATAAAAGTAAATATGACATGCCTCCTTACTGTTGGTACATCCAGATGCATTCTCTTACACTTCGTGACATTGAATCTTAGCAGCCATTTCTTCGACCATTCTTGGAGCTCTGCAGCTTTTCACCGTCTGCTTGGTTCTTGATTTTCCGAAATAACTTGGCGTCATCCGCCTGTAAGTCGTATGGGCGGTCGGTCACGTTTCTGTAACGCACTGTTGGCAAGTACTGGTCATGTCCTGGTTTCAGGCACTTGCACCATCGAGAAGGCGAGCATGAACTCCGCATGCTTCCATGTTGGACGCTTTGCCTTGCACAGGAAGCAAGCGAGTGTGACCAATGAAATAACCCCCTCGCGGGGCAAATCTAAAAAAAAAAAATTGTTACTTTCTTCGCCATTGATCAGCTAGCTAGCCCCTTGGGCAATCGCTAATTCCTGTTACTGTTGGCAAGTACAATACTGAAGGGAAGGGATCTGGCACTGTGTAGCGTGTATGATTTTGTCCGGTCACACACACACACGCCACTCAGAGGTCACTGGTCGGCTCTGTGTGTGTGTGTAAGCACTAACACGATAAGTTTGAAAATGTAAACACATCCTCTGCATAGCAGTAATATTCTTCTCTGCAATTATCTTAATTATCATTTCGGCTTCCTTTATCGGTATTTTTTATGGGATTAGCCCACCAGAGCACAGGTCATCGACCCACAACGGAGCCTGGGGGACGAGAAAAATGCAAAAGAAAAAATAGAGGAAGAAGTGTTAATCTACACCACGAAGGAGCCCAAAGACAAACTTTTTGAAGCGAGACATTGTAAGAGGATGGAAACAGACAAAGCATTCCACAGTTTGGCTGTGTGAGGAGAGGCTACTATAGCAAGTTATTCAAGGGTCCCTGAGATCCATAAAACTGTGGGTACCACTGGCAAGATGCTTCATGGTTATTGTTGGATACATTTACTGATCCCCAATTTTTTTTTTAATCAAAGGAATTTAAGATAATGGGGTGTTGGTGATCCAGCGGTACTTCTCACTGAGTCATGGGTTGATGAGTCGGCCAGGAACACAACTAGGAATTATGGGTGCTATCCAGTGACCCTACTAAACATCACAGGTTTCCTCTGGGTACAGTATTCTAGTTTCCTCAGGTACTAACACTGGACAATAAAGTTCATAGTAAAGCAACAAAGAACACCAACTAACCAAACAGCTAGTTAGCTTTTTCCTTGCTCATAATGCTCTTCAAAAGCGAGGTACAGTATAGTAATGTATGTGCTATGTCGTTTGGACTACACTGTCATCCCGTCTGGTCCCTGAGATATGTTAGAGAATGTCAGTTAAAATCGAAAGGAGGGCCACCATTCACTACAGCACCTCAGGTACCCAGAGAGATTAGAAGTAAATGCATGCAATTGCCTAACTTATACTATAGGCAGACAAGGAGTGACAAATACAAGTTTATAAACACCTGTAGCTGGCAGATGTCCGCCCCACTCGGGATCACAGCTTAAGGTTGAAGAGACCATAAGTTCAGAAAACTGTCGGGAAAAACTTTTTCGGAGTGTAGAATCTGCCATAGAGTTTGTGATGGCACCCGAGTGTTACTCATTCAAGATCAGACTGGATGATCTGGACAAGGATTCTGACACTATGAAGATGGAGTACTCTATGTTAAATTTTTTATCCTCTCGGTCAAGCTGCCATAATGTACTGTATAACACATTAAGCCCATTGCGCCTTCCATGATCTTGTGCGATAACGCCAAATTAGTAAATAAAAACTAATTCATATATAATCAGTAGGTTATTGACATCCAACTTTAGATATCTTGGGATATTCTCAAAGGGACCAAATAATTTAAGTGGTTTTAATGCTGGACCCTAAACTTGTTGTGTCAGGCAAGTCTGGGTGGTGGCAGCATAATTACCAGTTGACTAATGAATGATAAAGGTGATAATAAGTAAGTACAGTAGACCCTTGCGATTCGCAATTTTGACGATTCGTGGTAAGCAGATGGTGGCTAGCTTGCAAACCTTTTCCCGCAGCACGAGTCACCCCAGGCAGCATCTTGTGTTGTACTTTCAAAACTTTAGTGTTTGTGTGAAATGACCTCTAAAAGACTGCATAGTGTGAGTGCTAGTGGTGCTTGTGGATTGAAATGTAAAAGGCAGATGTCAGTGATGATGATGACCCTGACAAAGAAGCTTTATTAGATAAGTTAAAAGAGGGGATGAGTGCTGCTGCAGCTGGTCAGTTGTTTGGTATAGTATACAGTAGTGCACTAAGGTAGTAGAAGTTGCTATTCGTGGTTTTGCCAATTCGCGCCATTTCTTGGAACCTATCCCTTGCAAATGGCAAGGGTCTACTGTACTGTACTGTACAAATTCTCAGTCATGCCCAAATGGAATATAATTACAGTAAATTTAAAATAAGAAGGGCATCACATGAGGGTGGTTAATCTTAAGGTGAAATCAGCTGGGGTGTCTAACCTTCAAATAATCCAGAAAATTTTTTTACCTCTTATATAACTAATGGCCTGCCACTAGAGGTAACCATGCGGAGGGAAGGCGGCCAGAGGCCTGTGTTGGTTCCCATCATTGTTCTTCATAGTTTTTGTTTTTGTCAAGGGCTGTATTGAAGCCCAGTACTGTTCTTGATTCTGCAGACTTGGGCTGGTAGAATGTTCCATAGATCTACCACCTTCTGTATCCCATGTTCATTCTGCAAGATGACTTGGCGAGCTTCAAGTTATGTCCCTCGTATTGGTGGTACTTGACATCACAAACATTAAAAAAATGGCCTGGGTTTGCATTTTCCATCCCTTTCAAAATTTAGAATGTTTCTTTGAGATCTGCCTTATTGTGTCTTTGAAGAGTTTTTAAGAGATGATTTGGTTATGGAATCAACTTAGTTGCTTGTCTTTCTGGAGGTAAGATTTCCATGCATGTACAGTACAGGGGTATACAGTAATCCAGACTAGGAAATGTGATTCATGATTCTGAAGGAACATATTCTTGTCTTTGTATTTGAAGGTATGCTTTATAATCCCCAAATCTGGCTTCTTTTTCACTGCTACTGCCACTTGTTGCACTGCCACCAGTGACTTATCTATCATATTGCCTCAAACATTTTCATTATCAGTAGTATCCAATACTATACGCCATATTTTAGGGGGTCTAAATCTTTGACTAGTTCCACAGAGAACTGGGTTAAACTAGCAAGCTTTTCAGTGTAAGTACAGTAAAGTACATGAGTTGCCCAATCCACTGCTTAATGTTAAAAAAATAAGCATGAGGTGGCAACACGTACTGGGTGTGCAGGTACAGTAGCAAGATGTTGACTGAAGATATTCCAGTAACTTCTGTGCTCCACTGCTTAAACCTGTATTTCACTCATTTTGAATATTATTGACTTAAAGTCAGTGTATACCACATTTTTTTTTGCATGTGATATTTGAGTTGTAAAATATGCTTTTATTAAATGTTTTTTTTTTTAAGGAATGTTTCTCCAAACTTAAAATGGTAATCAATGACTATATATTATTTGATTTACAATTACAATACACCTCTACAGTACATTACAGTACTTGGTTTATGTTATGGTTTTCAAGAACACAATCCTAAGTTGAGCTTTAGTTGTACTTTAAAGGTGTATTATACATAATGTGCTATGTACTGTATAATCAACTGCAGACCTTTTACCAGTAATGTTTAACCTGTACAGTACAGAACTGTACAGTATAGGGAATTCAAAACAACCTTTAAAAAATTCACATTTTATCTGGATCATACTGTATACTCAAACCTTTGATGACAAAGGTTGTACAAGATGGAACTGTGTTTTGGCCTCAAACACAAAAATAAATAAATGAATTTACATTGATTGGAAAATACTATACAGTATTTACACTAAGCTTATCCATACATCAACTGAAGTACAGATTAAATTACAATATTACATACAAATGAAAATCGATATACACTTTGTGCCTGTAATAAAGAAGTTCCGTCCTTCTATTTTTTTTTTTTTTGTGAGCCATGTGGTTAACTCCTCACAATACAGCAACATGTGACTGTTCAACTCATTCAACGGGAGCTACGTACTTGTAATAGTCACTTGTATTTATTTGTATAACTTGACGATGCCTTTACATGTCAAAGGATTTAGATGCCTTGACATCATGCCACATGACAGGCTTCTTGTATGACACTGGAATGATGGAGACATGAGTGGCACCGTATTCTCTGAACACGGAGAGGAGTTTCAATGTGACACAAGATAACACTACAGATTCCCTGAGCTGTGTGTGTCTTTCCATGAGTACAGCTAGTCAATCTCTAAAATACAGCTTCAAATAAGATTATTTTGTACAGATTTTCCTCTCAAAGTTCAGCATTTAATATACACCATGATAATACATACATTAATATATAATGCATTATTTGCCTTTGTAAAATATAATGGAAGGTGTGGCCACTGAGAATACATATCATTACACAACAAGTATCCTCTAGTACTTGACATTTTCACATCTACATCAGAGCACCTACAGACTAGGTCAATATTATTATTACACTCATGAGATCTTTTACATCATAAAACCAGCAGGCTCATTTTATATACATTAAATACTGCCATAACTATCACTAGAAAAGAAATATTGCCATTCTCAATAGCTTAAATATAGTAACTCTACTTTTTGGGTACCCTTACACATCCATTTGTGGCAGTGCGAGTGGTTCTCAGGACATGACAGAATGGCAATAGCGATCTGGTGCACACGGGTAACAACTACACAGTATGGGCCTTAGTCATCTACTAAAAACAGCTTGTAAATCACGTATACAGTCACATGCACATGAGCAAGTGTGCTACATTCACACAATTATGAAAGACCTTTTTATATATACATTTTTCATTTTATCGTTTTTAATATATTTTTCCTTAATCCTAAGTTTCTCACTTCAGTATCTGGTAAAAGCAATATTACGTTGAACTACAAATCAAACATAGATCTGGAGTAACTTTAACATGTGACATTATAATTACAGTAGATGGGTAGCATCAGTGCTGTATGCCAAGAACATTTAGACAGAAGTTTATATTTAGGAGAGCATTAAAGGCATTTCAAGGTTAATCTAATGAGTCCTAGTCATGCATGAAAAGACTGTTATTCAAATTACATTCATGTGTGAAAAAAATAATAATATTCAGCACACAGCCTAGGTTTAACTATCAAAATCAAGAACAGTTGAACAATAATTTCCCAAAACTGATGTCATAAGATTAAAAAATAAATAAAAAATAATAATAATAAAATAAACAAGGGTGTTCAAGGACATAGAGAACCCTTAGAAAAGGAACAAAACAAAATATTGAAACCTGAATTATACCATTGATTACATACATATCTTCAAGAAACACAAATCAATATGCATTTGCCTACACTGTCACATACTTTCAAAACTGTAGTACAAGAATTAGTCAAAGGGGTGAAAGTTGTTCTAAATTATACCATCAATTGCCACTGAATATCATTATAAATACATAAAAAAAAAAATAAAACAAACTGATATGGGTTAAAAAGACTAACTGACTTCTCACAATAAAAAAACAAAGTCCCATTTAATAAATACAATAACTCCTAAATTAGAAAAAGTCAGCAATTTACACAAAATGCTCATCATTCTTCTATTAGCTACTGTGATGTTCAGCTTAATGTATTTGTGTTTGCTTAATAGAACATCTTTTTTTTTACCCCTTTTTCACAGCCAGTCAGTTTTAGCACTTGCGGTTGTTCACTGCACGGGAGAATTTACCAGGCACCATCATGTCATTTCGCTTCGCACGTTTATTGCCAGCAGCTGCCACCTCCCGTGCTTTGTTACTGCGTTCTAGGGGCTTGCGCTTTAGACGTCGTTCCTCTCGACGACGCTGAGCCTGAAAGATGGATATTGTACACATATCTCCATTTGAATAATAATAAAAATATTTAAATTTAAGTAAAGTATTGAAGATACATTATAAATAACCTATTTACTGTACTGTACTTTGAAAACATTAAATGAAAAATGTATTTAATTACTGAAATTGTATAAATTTCTACAATTATTCAAAGTAACATGTAATGTTTTATGTTTCAAATCTCACCTTTTGTGCTGGCCTGAGCACATCAATGGCTTGGAGGAGGGTGGCTGCACGTTGACTCACACTTGAGCGGGTAGCTGGGGCCTCTACAACCTGCCTGCCAGCCTCATCACCAGCATCTTCCCTCATGGGGGAATCTTCATTCTCAACAGGGCTGGGCTGGGAGGAGGGAGAAGCTGAAGGGGGAGAATGGGAAGATGGGGAGGAGTGAGACATGATGCGTCGTGGAAATATTCTTGCGATGGCAGCACTGGTGTAAGTGGGGCGTGGCAGGTAGACAGACATGCTGGGGTGTTCTATTAGCAGATTTTCTAAAGGAGAGGTGGCTAATGGGGCCGTCTGCGAGCGTGTGAAGCACGGTGGTGGGGTCATGAGCCATCCCTGCGTACCACCTTCACACGTCTCTCCACTAATGCTTATTGGTGACGTTGGTATGGATGCTGCTGCTGCTGCTGTTGTTGATCGTGTTGATCTTCTTGTTGTTGTTGCTATCAGCTGGACACCCTGGCCCTCACCATAACTCGCTTCACCAACCTCTGCTGAACACCACCACTACCATTAGTGCCACGCCCACACCTCACCTAAACTGTACCAACACAATATTCTTCTTGACATTGTTACTAACACTATTCATTATTTGCTATCAATAAAACTATGAGCATACTATCTTCAACTTCTGAAAATACTATGTACTTATGTACATGAGGTGTGGGAAAAGGAGGGAGAGAGTGAGAGAGATGACCATGATTAATATCAATTTCAAATTCAAATAAACATAAAAATGACACTATGAAGCGAATCAATCATGGCTACCTGAATTGTATAAGTACCATAGTGTAATGTAGTGCAAAATGAATGTATGACCAGCACTTTCTACACTGTTCAATGTGATGCTGAAGAAAAGTAGTGTAGAGTAAATTCAGTGGATAGCTTTTCATATATTTTAAAAGAGACAACAAGGGACTATTATTTGACGGATTGTACAACAATCCCCCAAATTATAAAAGCAGCAAAGAATTAAGAGAAATTCAACAATTACTGTACAACTTAATGATAAACACTGCTTGACATTACCAAGGAAGAGTTTATATGTTGATAATACTGTAGGATGGAGAGATAAATCAATGATGGTTACTTTAGCAAATTAGTTAAGGGAATCCATAATTCATTTTAGTGTGTATGCAAATTATAAATGCATTTTGTTTTGGGATTAAAATACCAAATGAACATAAAGGAAAATAAAGTAATGTAAATCTTATCTTATTCCTTAGTACTCTACTATAAAGACAACTACAGTACAATAAACCTATTTATTATCGTGTTAAGTGAAGCAAGAAGATTAAGTTTTGCAAGGTCATTAAATGCTTCACATCTACTTGATTTGTTTACTACATTAATTTACAGTGAAGGTTTTGCTCTCATTCACTCTCCTATTTACATACCCCCCCGCCCCCAAGTTTTCATCCCCACGTCATGATATTCCCAGACTGACAACTCGGCTACACACTATACCTATCTCATATTCAAAGTACGGGTCACACCATTATTCCATCGACAACCAGTGGTGTGTACTTGTGAATCATATACAGTAATGAGATTAGCTTACATGTACGCAATGAAATTTGGAGTACAGTAAATAGATGTGAAACACTCAATCCCTTGAACCTAGAGTACAGTAATGTAGTAGGCAGCTATCAAACAGGGAGGTACTACCGCCTGGAAAGATATTGGAAGCATAATGTGTTGTCTAATGGTAGACCCTGCTGCCATATGGCATCACAAAAACTGTGACTAAGTCCCAGGTTGCTGTTCTTTCTTTCTGCCTCATTTACACACAATTGCAGGGTCTCAATTGTTTCTCTTACTTTGACAACACAACATACATAATGTATGTCGTTTCTCACTCTTGATTTGTTTTTTTACTTTGTTATTTCTTTATGGTTCTTTATAATTATATTATTAGTGTTGTTATTATTACTATTTTATTTTTAATTTTGTATTTTTATTATAAATTTTATTTACTATGAGCTAATTATTATTATTATTACTACATACCCCCCCCCCCCAGACCTGTGCCCGGGTGGACTAATCCCTGTAAAAAAAAAAAGATGCCTGATATATAAACAGTATACTGTATTTGATATTGTTGATGAGATATAACTGCAACTGTACCAACACTTTTTATCTCTCGCTCTTAATTACATTCATCTTTAACCTTCATACATGCATACAGTACATACTACAGCTCAGTAAATTCATTCGAGTGTTTCTCACCTGACACTGCACATCAACTAGAGTACAGTACGTACTATAAAAACTGTGACTTAATGAGTTCTGTTTCTTCAATAATTATCTAAAAGTGCATCTCATACCACCATTTAGGACAGAATGAACTCACTGGTGCCAAGAATCGAAGACGAAAAGATTCACTCGTACACAAACACTCCTGTACAGTACACTTACAAAACTAAAAAGAATGCTGCTTTTGACATACTGTAGTTAAAGACAAAATACGTTAGAAAATATAATCACACAATAAGATGCAGTACACAATAAACCCTCTATTTCCTTTCTCTAAGTTGGCCAAATTTTTCACCCAACAACAAACCACATTAGACCTACTTCACCATATTACAGATGATGGGAATTATGGTAAAAAATGTATTACACAGTGCAGTAGCTACTTGATTCTCCCAAATCCAGACACTCCCGAGGTATGGAAACTTTGAGGAATGTGGTGAGTGAGTTATGTTGGTGTTATCTGAATGTGCTAGTTGTATCAAAAAATAAAGTGCTCTAAATCAGGTGTCCAAAAATCTTTGTAAATTTCAATTATCTTTACCGGTATACTTTAACCCCTTCACTGAGTGGACACTACTTTTAACAGTTTATTTGCCTAATACCAGACGATTTTATTCAGCTCAGAAATGACCCAGTATACAAGGGGTTCAGTAGGTAATAAAGGTGTAAAATTAAAGAAAAACTTACTGTACTGTACTTCCCTGTGTGTACGTACAGGTATTGTTACAATATGGTAAAAGATAAAAATATTTTAAAGACAACATTAAATATCAAAAGAAGACATTATACAGTACAGTAGCTCATAACTCTTATATTGATAAAAAAATGTTGGATCACAAGAATGGTGCCGCTCAAAAGAACTTCATTGACTTCAATAGAAAATTACAGTACTGTATTGTATTGTGCAGTACAGTATTTTGATATACTGTACAGACACTCCCGTTTATGGAAATGTTCCGTTCCTGGACCCTATCTGTAATCCAAATTTTCTGTAAACCGAAAATAGTAAATACTGTACTGTACAGTGTTGTTGCGCCATACTAGTTACCTTTCATAATAACAGAAACTTGTGCAACCCGAAGATTTTTATAAAAATGGGACTTACAGGGAAGTGTCTGTGTTTATTTCTCAATCTATGACCCCTCTATTAAAATAATGTACTGAGAAGGTAACAAACAACTTTTAACTCTATTACGTATATAAAACGCTGAATGCCGTAGTTAAAGACCCAGGAAAATAAACTTTACCGAGTATACTAAACAGTCTCTTCTCAACTTACGACATATTCGACTACAACAACCCGATCATACGACGGCCATGGTCGTATAAAATATTTTTCACATTACGTATTTTAGAGTCTCGACGTTAGTGATCGCGCTGTGTACTGAAAAAATTATTTTTTGTAATTCCCTTTAAAAGGCTGTAAAGCATAAAAGTGAGAGTTCTTGTGGTGCTGAGAAGAAAAAGAGACCCATTATAGAATTTCTATGTATTATTTTTGCCTTTTCAACTTAAGACCTGGTCGTCGGTCCCTAACCCTATCGTAAGTCGAGGAGAGACTGTACTGGATATACCTTTTTTTTTATTAACACCTTAATTAAAAATTGAGCAATGAAATTATCAAGAATCAATGCCAAAGTTCCTCTTAGTGTTTGTAATCATATCCATGACGAGCAAAATAATTTATTTTTATTATTATATTCATCTGTTACCTTCCTACTTCAAAATTAATACTATAAGACAGTACTGAACTTATTACAATGTGTTATGAACTAGGTACAAGGTAAAGAACGGTTCCTACACTAAAGACAGTTAAAATTTTATTGGGTTGAAGGCTGCTGCCACTGCTACCCAAGACCGAGTGAATGTTAATTAGCATAATGTATGTACAGGTTGTACCTCTCTAGTCCGGCATTCTGTGGTCCGGAACGATTTTAGTTTGTCCAATAGGTAGATAGGCAACTTTTTTTTTTATCTTATCTGAATTATTATTATTATTACAGGAGTATTGAATTTTTGCCCCTCAGGCCCCAATGTGGGTCAGTGACCTATGCCCGGGTGGGCTAATTCCCGTAAAAAAAGCAACAACAAAGCCGCGGGAAATTAAGGTTTGTTTACATCCGGCAGTTCGGCTGCTCTCTCTCTCTCTCTGCTTGTCTATACAGAGTACAACATTTAACCCTTCAATATATATGAGCAGTAAATAAGTGTTGCTTTCCTATTCTTATGTAGAGTAATGACGATATGTTTTCACATATGCGCACTTACAGACGCGCAGTCTCACGTTTTTTTTTACCATTAATGGTTAGCTACTTATATTGTTCCATTTATTAACATTAAATAACATTACAGGTACTTCAAACAACCATATTATTTTTTTTTACATTAATTTTACTACAGCTACAATCAGGGTCTTATTTTCTTCAGTTTTATATGTAGAACCAATCAGTCACTGGTTTTGTAAGCTTAAACATAAACAATGCCGGCAGCTGTCTCGTCTTCTCGTGTGTTTTAATATTCAACGTATTATTAATAAATTGTATTGTTAATTTTGCACACACAAACATTAATTCAATAAAAACAAATTCAGAAACATTAATTAAAATATATATGAACAGTAAATAAGTGTTGCTTTCATATTCTTATGTAAAGTAATGACGATATGTTTTCACGTGTGTGCACTTACATACGCGATCTCTCTTTTTTCTTTACCATTATCGTTAGCTACTTCTATTGTTCCATTTATTAACATTAAATAACATTACTTAAAACAACCATATTAATTTTGCTACAGCTACAACCAAAGTCTTATTTTCTTCAGTTTTATATGTAGAACCAGTCAGTCACTGGTTTTGTAATCAACGTAAACAATGCTGTGTCATTTCCTCGCGTGTTTTAATATTCTACGTATTATTAATGAATTGTATTGCTCATTTTGCACACAAACATTAATTCAATAAAAAAAGACATTTAGTAATAAACAATACTGAATCTTTTGTACATAAGAGAAATGACGCTGTTTACACGATTATGCACGTCGTCGAGCCGTTCAATCCCGTCGAAATTCAAGTTTCCGCTGTCAAAATTTTTATTTATTTTTTTTTGTGTTCCAATAAAATACGTTGAATTAAAAACTCGCGAAATTTGAGAAGCTACTATATGACATTTAACCCTTCAATATGTCTTAAAAGAGATCATGATGCAGAGAAAGTGGTGCTAGTGCTTCCAAGCATAAGCACAAGCACAAGTCACTATCTATCCAGGAAAAGGGTGAATTTCCATGGTCCGGCAATTTCCATGGTCCGGCACCGGTCAGGTCCCGAGGTTGCCGGACTAGAGAGGTACAACCTGTATTACTGTATTGTACAAGTATTGTGATTATATTTTACATGAAACCCCCATTTAATAGAAACTCATTCTATGGAACTTCAAAATTATGGAACATAAATTTAAGGGCACAAATTTCATGCAACTCATGAGTTACAAAATTTTTAATTTAAAAAGAAAAGTGGGAGAGGAATTTTAAATATGTATAAGCATTTCGGAAGTATAAAATAAAACTTCTCTTTAGGAAACGATTTGGTGTTTTATACTGCAACCTGATGCTGGCGTGTATGTATAACCCTTGTCCTCCCGGGATTCACTTGCAGACACTCGGCCACTCTGGCTTATACTGTGGCGTACTGTATGTGGCCAGTTGTCAATTCTCTTTGTATGGGCTCACATACATACGTACAAGTAGATATCTCACACTCAGAATTGAGGTAGGATAGAAACTCACAATGCGTTTACTGTATATATTGTATGTACAGTGCAGTGCTTAGGAGTTGCCGTGTGGTGAGACGCTTGCTCAGAGGTCCTGTTGGGTGAGGAGCTTGCTGAGGAAGCTTGTTTGGAGGTCTTGCTGGTTCAGCAGAGTAGGGTAGAATGGCGAGACCGAGAGCTTATATACTCGACCACCGGAAGTAAGACCGGGTGCAAGCGTCGCTGGTGTCGACCCCCCTACCCTTAGTCTAGACTTGTCAGAGAAACTTGGCGCGATTCTTTACGACTAGGCTTTGGCTGAACTCCGTTGCTATGGAATGTGACTAGGCTCATCAGTTGTAGGGGAGAGTATTCACCAATATACAATGTTCTCCCAACTTTGCCTGGCAAGAGCTCAGTAAGAGCAGGTGGTAGTAGTGTTATTGTGGGAAACAAGAAGACACATACTCTAGATGTGAAATTAAAAGTGTCAAGGATGTTTCATGCTGGTCAGTAACTATGTGAAATATTGAAGGTTAGGGACCAGCTATGGCATCTACTGTGGTCAATATGAGGTGCTGTATTGTATTTCTATTATTGATTCTGTGTGTTGTAAGTAGCTATTTATTATACCACCCTGTACAGTATTTCAGTGCAAACAGGCATTCCTTTTAGATCTGTCTTGTTATAATTCTCACTGTTCTGGAGGAAATTTTACAATAGAAAAAAGGTCATGTATAAAACTGTTCAAATGCTCTATGTAAAACCATGCAACATGTACTGTTCTCCTTTTCTCTAAGCTGCACATTCAATCAATGACTGTGATACTGTATACAGAACACTTATTACCAGTGAGGTGGCATGAAATTTTGAAGGTAAACAATTTGTTGACTACCAGAGCTGAAGAATGCCTAAGTAAACTTAAAAAAAAAATTACAGAAATATGCAAAGAATGTAGTCTAAACATAAACAAAAGTGAGTACTGCAATACACCTTTTCACATATACGTTGAGACATTGTTATATATCTATTTGACGAATGACAGAACACATATCGAATGACAATCTAAAAAACTGTTCGTTCATGCTAATGGAAATGATTGACATAAGTTATGAAATTGACAGCCGTGAACAATAAACCGAGTCTACATATAGTTTGAGAATGTAACAATTGGAGAATGACATACCACCAACAGTTTTTTAGATTGTCATTCGATATGTGTTCTGTCATTCGGTTATGAAATTTGTCAAATAGGTATATAACAATGTCTCAACGTATATGTGAAAAGGTGTAGTGTCCCCTACAACATGAGACCAGTACCCTACTTAAAAGAAAGTACTGTAATGTATAAGCCATATAACTATACAATTAGTATAAAAACTGACCAATCTGCTAATGCATCATAGTAAAGAAAATACGTATATGATAACATGTTCACTCGAAGACGTGACTGACAGCTGATCCCACCTGAATCCAAAAGCTGGCTTCCTGTACTCGTCTAAATGCAATTCAGGAAATTGCATACTGTACTGTACTAGACAAAATTATCTATAACCATTATCATTGGAGCAAGCTTCTAACATCTGAATGCCCTTCACAGTACTGTATATTAAGTTGTTTTGAATCATATTTACTTGAATATGAGAGATCTATAGCTTTCATTTTAAGTCTGCCACTGGTTACCTGTACAAGTGCAGGGCTGGGGTATTAGATGTAACACCTTCCATGACATAACTGTGTTACAAATGCCTGTCTAGGAAGTTTGGGCTAATATATTAAATTAAATCCACTTATAATACAATGATGTCGATTGGTTTTTATTTACTAGAAATAAAAATAAAATCATTTTTATAAAATACTGCAATCGTCGACTAATTAAACCTTTTTAATGATAATTGTACTGGGAAAACCGTGCTTATCATACTTCTTAATAATACATGTCACTGCTTTACAGTTCTGAATGCTTCCCACATACAGTATTTGTTTACTTCACTGTGGTAGTATTAACTTATATTTTTACCTATAATATCTTGGAAAAGGCCTTAAGCATCAGACTGATACAGTATTGGGCATAGTTTGGGTTAGGTTATACTGCATCAACCATTTGAACCATCCTTCATGAGGCTTCTGCCCAATCTACCAAGTCAGTAACAACAACCAAGGCAACTCTTTCAAGAAGTATCTTACTGGGGAGTATATGAATATACTGTATAGTAGTCAGAAGGATTCCATGTATGGGGAGTAGGATCATGCTAGGAGCAACAGCACCTGGAGGTAAAGTTTTGTATACACTTGTACTGCACTAATAATAATTTTCAGCATACGACCAAGGACAGCTGACAAGTCATGAGAGGTTTGTTTCCAGTAGAGTCCTTATGCCAGCACCATCTGGTGTTCTTATGGCCAGGCAGTCACCCATCCAAGGACTAACCATTATGTCCAGTACAGTACTGTATTCTTATTATTTATAAAAGGTTTTAATACATTTATCTTAAGTACACTGGCATCTTTGGGGCTATTTTGATATGCAGTGAAGCCCTAGATGTTAATCATGGGTAAGAAATAGTGCTGTCATGAACACATGTATCGGAACTATCTGTTATAGAGCCATTTCTTATAGCATCTTTTTTTCCAGGAATGCATTTCAAGTGGTATAAAAGGTATGCCTGTATATGTTAAATGTATGTACCTATATACATACGTACTGTATTACATTTTGGAGGTACAGTTATATTTTTCCTCAAAAATACCTCTCCAATTACAGACCCTGTACAGTACTTGTACTGTACTGTACTGTAGTGTATACCATAATTGGTTTCAATGAGAAAACAAGATTTGTTTAGTGTAATCTTGATTAGCAGAAAACCTTCATGAATGTAACCATTTCACTAAACTACTGTATAGTGTAGTATTGTACTGTAGTTAGAATGGGTATATTCACAGAGGGGGTTCTCTAGGGAGACACATGTTCACCCTTACATCCCTTGTATTCCCCAATTCTTTTAGGTTTTCTTAAAACTTTAGAAGTGCTCAGGTAAAATAAAATTACTGCAGCAATTATAATAGTAACTGATGCTTTGAATATTTTATTTATTTATTATTTTATTATTTTTTTGGGGGGGGGGTTGAAATAGAAACACGTTATCTGCATGATAAAGTACTGTAGTCCCAAAGAAAATGCCCATGGTATAGTAAGAGTTTTCTGTTATACAGGTTGTAAAAAAAGTCTGGAATTATATGATTTCAGCAGGATGGGGCTCCTCCACATTTCGGTTTGATAACACGTGGGTGGTTAGATTCTGAGACACATGTACCAGGGAATGAATTGGTCGACGTGGACCAGTCCCCCAGATCACCAGACCCAACTCCTTTAGACTTTTTTCTATGGGGTCATTTTAAATCAGTTGTGTACACCAACCGTCCGCAACAATTGAGGCACCGAAAACCCGTATTCAAGTGGAATTTAACAAAATCAGTATGGATACACTGCGTGCTGTCACTGAAAGTATAAAACCGTGTTTATAACTGCTTGACACTCCACGGACTACAATTTGAACATTTAATAAAATAAACCTACGATCCCGGACCTTTGTTACACCTTGAGTGGATCAGGGAGAGAAATATAGAACCTGAATGCATTCTATTCTTTACCAGAAGTTATTAACCTTCAACTTTCTGTGTATAAAACCGTGTTTATAACTGCTTGACACTCCACGGACTACAATTTGAACAGAGGGTTTACAGTAATCTTCTATAGACAGTCAAACAACTCACCAGCTCTGTCGACCAAGACCCAGTCAGACTCCTCCTCATCTGCGGGTGTGCTGGCTCTGATATTGACTAGTGACTGGGTCTCGGGCGCCTCCACCTCGCTGGTTGGGCAGGTGGTGGTGGTGGTGACAACCGCACTGGTGGTGGTGGTAGTGGTCGTTGGTGTGCTCTCACTGCCCCAGATCAGAGATGTCAGGTTAGCCAGCATCTTTTCTGCAGAAATAAAAAAGTATAATTAATTACCCGGTACGTACTGTACAGTCTATGGAGAAAATTTAGGATTTTGGTTTCAAATGAGCAATGCTCAAGCAATGTAGTACAATACAGTACTGTACAAGTACAGTAATTAGATTATTATATGCTGATAACATTTACAGTTACAATACATACCATAGAGTACAGTACATATGTTTAAGTAGTATCAAAGCAAACTAAAATGATGACAGTCAGACTTTAGCAGCACTTTTAATTGTAAATTCTAGTATAAATGATGGAAAACTTGATGTAATTGAATGTTTATGTTCAACGTACATTAATCAACACAGGCCATTAACCTACACTTTCACAGCACAGTGATTTACTGACTTATCATTTTTATGCTCTATTATACCTGTACAATGTTCATCATTTTCATTGTACAGTACAGTACCTGTATTATTTCTTTACTATTAATTTCACAAGACAACTTTGTGTCACTAACCCATCAATTGACCAACATTTTCCCTTCCTGGAACATAACACCCAAATAACACATTAGACTTTACTGTACCATTCAATATACAGTACGTTTGTTCACTTAACGAACCAATTTCTGGGAACACAATCACTTCATACATCAGGGGATACCTGTATACTGTACTGTATTATGTAAAATATACATACAGTGATCCCTTGGTTAACGAGCGCCTCGGTTAACGAGATTTCGGTTAACGATTTACCTTCCATAAGATTCTTAACTTCGGTTATCGAGCAATCCCTCAATTAACGAGTTTCCTTCGAGCGGACCTCGACATGTTTTCGCTTGCATTTGGCGGTCCACCAGCTGTAGTATTAGTCCGCCAGTACAGTAATCGGTTCTAGGGCTTAAATTCCTTACTATTTTAGTAATTATCAAGAAGTTTATACTATTCAATAATTTTAAAAGTTTAATATTAAATTTTTTTAGTCATTTCAACAATTATTGAACATAATTGAAGTACAGGAAGCTAGTTTTTTGCGCGCCAAACAGCCTGTTAACACACCATACAGGCATCAGTCTTTGTGTCTTTTCAGTGGAGGTAACATCTTGCTTGAGACTCTCTTCAACTAAACGCTTTTTTTCTGTGTTTCCAAGCAAATTATTGGTCATTTTGAAATTTATTTTACATATTGACAATATATAATGCAGTGCAGTGTTGATTTAAAGAAAATGATCTTGAATTACACCAAGAGAGCTAAAATTTTATGGGTGAAATGGCGCCATGGGGTGACTTCTCTTCCACCCCAATGCCTTCTCTTCTCCCTTCTCCTCCACCCCCATTCTAATTCCCATCATCATCCAGGAGCCTTCTACATACACACCTCAAAGTAAGTGTACTTTACAACCTTTTTTGTTGATTTTAGGCAATTTTCAGTGAGCTGGAACCAATTACCCAAAAACCCATTGAAACAATGATTTCGGTCAACGAGTTTTTCGGTTAACGAGCAACCTTCTGGAACGAATTGTGCTCGTTAACCGAGGGACAGCCAAAGGCCATCAACAGATCTAAGTATCCAAGCTATGTGTTACTCTACCCAATTCCCCGTCCCCTTTACTGTATACTACCAAACCCCTCCCTTTATCCACCATTAACACCAAAACTCCTTCCCCTACCACCAACTGGACACTACTCCCTCACCATTCCCAACACTCCTTACCATCCTCAATACTCCTTCACCTACTGTTCCAAACCCTCACCACTGCTCTACCCCCACTACAGTACAGGCATCTCTTATCTTTCTAATCCTTTGCTCACATCTTCAAGCAATCCCAGTCTCCTTTTACTCACCTCTATAAGCATTCCAATTATCTTGCCCATCTATCCATATTATAAGCCACCTCCAAACCCTTCCCATATCCTAAACCACCACTACAAATCCTAAGCAATTCCTCTTAACTTTCCCTATACCTTAAGCCACCGTGCATACTTTCCTCATACTCCAAGCCACCCCCCAAACTCTCAAATACCCTAAGCCACCCCTCCAAACTTCCCCATACCCTAAGCCACCCATCCAAACTCTCCCCATACCCTAAGCCACCCCTCCAAACTCTCCCCATACCCTAAGCCACCCTCCAAACTCTCCCAAACCCTAAGCCACCCCCAAATACCCAAAGCCACCCCCCAAACTCTCCCCCATACCCTAAGCCACCCCTCCAAACTCTCCCCCACCCTAAGCCACCCCTCCAAACTCTCCCCATACCCTAAGCCACCCTCCAAACTCTCCCCATACCCTAAGCCACCCCCAAACTCTCCCCATATCCTTAGCCATCCCTCCAAACTCCCCCATACCCTAAGCCACCCCTCCAAACTCTCCCATACCCTAAGCCACCCCTCCAACTCTACCCCCTCACCCTAAACTTATAAAATACAGTTAGACGGGAGGGCGTTTCATCCTTGGATGAGTGGCCTTCAAGGTGTAAACGAAGATTACTGTACCTAGCAGCCTGTCATCTGCAATATCATCACCACCGCAATTACACACACACGCTATATATATATATATATATATATATATATATATATATATATATATATATATATATATATATATATATATATATATATATATATATATATATATATATATATATATATATATATATATATATATATATATATATATATATATATATATATATATATATATATATATATATATATATATATATATATATATATATTACTTGTTGCAGTATTTGCATACTTACATAAATGTATTTTTGCAAACAATTTCTTTACACATACATGTAATTATAGGCGAACATGTAGTCTACAACAAAATTTTCTACACCTTTATGGTGTTATACAATATGACACACCGGACCAAGAATTCTGAACAACACTCATTTACGTGGGTGATTCCTGTTAATTTCTGTATTAACTATTTGGTTATACAATGCATCACAGCTAGAAACTAATTAATGTCTACCTCTTTATTTTCTTTTAAATACGTGTTAACCTTGTTGAGTCACTAAAAAATGGGCACACGAAAATGCCAGTGTGCGCACTTGCCTCACCTCACCCCGTGACGTCATACACGAAGGTGAGGCCATTTCACTTAACATTAGAACATAAGAAAATAAGAAGTCTGCAATAGGCCGGTTGGCCTGTGCAAGGCAGCTCCTTCACTTCATCATTTCAATTAAAATAAGTGATCATACAATTTTTGTTCCAATTAATTTTCGTTTTCATTCTGCACAAGTAATGCAAACCTGTGCGTTTTGAAAGGCAATTTGATTTATCAAGGATTGGAAGAATAAACAATTCAAGTGTGACACAGTATGGACTTCTGAAGGCTAACATCATGGACATCAACATTATTAAACAATTGTAGAAATATATATATTCACCTTATTTATCTTCGCACGTCCTCACTTCTCTGGCATTTTTCTACGACCCGATTAAACATACAACATTGATTATCCAATATCCCTGACAATAGTACTCTGCGTGTTCAGACATCATTAGTGACAGTTGGACTAGTCTAGTAATATAAAGCAAACCATTAGATCTTCACAGTAATACCTAATGTGGATAGGCATGGCGAAATCTACAAATAAACACCTACAATAAAATCAAGCATAAGGACCGTTGACATGACAAGACACTCCCAAGACATGTTGAGAATTTAAAGCCTACACGACATGGCACAACAGAATATTAAGGGGCATACACAAAACTTGGCATGAGTAAGAATGCTCACAAACAACACAAAATAAGATAAACGTGCATGCAGAAACACTATAATCGAACACGAAGCATCACTCACTCTCTGCTGGTGATATTGAAGATGGAATCATATATTAATAAAACTAGTGGATAAAGTAAGTTTGGCAAAAGGAACAAAGCACTAAGTCAACAAGCCAAGAGTCAGGTGTGTGCGCGCGTGACCACCACAACTCAAGGCCAGATGACGAGGAAGGCTTTAAATTTCCTTAACCTACCGCAGGGGTTTTACCCTCCCTACGTCAACCACCCATTCTGGAGCCTCCACTCCCCTCCTTATATGCCTTAATTCTTGATGCTCTTGTAATTTCTCTTCTCCATTCCTATCTGTGATCATAACTTATTTTTTTCTCGTGGGAATTTCGTTTAATACATTTATTTTACCCATCTCTTCTAATTTTGCGTGTTTCTCTTTTTTTTTCCTTTACAGCAGTTTTTTCCTCGTCATTAAGCTATTCCTACCGAACCAACTGTCGTACCTCCCACTAAATATTCGAAACTCAAGGAATATCAACTGAAACTCTTAACCGTCACCAAGATATTTTATCCCGTTCATCCGTGTGCACAATTATGTTATTTATATTCTAGGCATTCATTCAACTGTTTGGATCATATGCATAAACATCACTTCATGGCAGAAAATTTACCAATGTGTGTGGAGGTCATCTAATATCTGGCTTCCTCCATATTGTCTGTAAGTAAGTTTAGAATATTAGGGCAACAAACATGCTGCTGGTGAAGTTTGATGCTAGCACAGGTTCGCAGATCTTTAACGTTAGGTCTGGTAATGTTTTATGCCATGTTGGGTTAATTTAAACGATATTTAACATTACAGCAGGTCTGATTAAAACAGGTGAAGTTTTTTCCAGCTCGGTTAGGTTAAAATAAGTTGCAATTTAGGTCTGATTACGTCTAGTGAAGTTTAACGTTGAAATTGGTTTAATATAGAATCCAAAGTCTGGATCGACGCTCAATGTTACAAGAACATTTATAAACAAGACAAAATATCTCGTACTTATCCGTATCACAGTGAAATAAAATTACCACCAGCTGACCACGATTCTAACAATACGGAGAAACTATCTTGGTGCCGCGGGGCGACATACAGGGCCAGTGTCACGACTCAAACAATGGAGCCCCCGGCCTCTGGAATCAAGGTAAGATAAATTCTCACTTTACCTAGAAAACCTAACCTCGTCGTCTGTAGGTTATTATTTACTGTACGTGGGGCCTTACTTTCAGTGCTGA